AAATGGGGACTGATCACAGGGCCTTGCATGTACTAGGCAAGTACTTTTCCACTGAGCTATATCCTCAGCCCTAACTTTACTCTTTTAAAGTACCCAATTTACATTTTTTTAGTATACTCACAGAGTTATGCAGCCATTACCACTATCTAATTCCAGAACATTCCATCACCCCAGAAGAAACCCTGAACCCATTAGCTGTCACTCTCTTCTTTCTCCTGTTTCTGGAAGCTACTAATCTACTTTCTTCCTCTGTAGATTTGTCTATTCTGGAAATTTCATGTAAATGGACTCATACAACATGTGGGCTCTTGTGTCTGGCTTCTTTCACTTAGCATGTTTTCAAGGTTTATCCATGTTGTAGTATGTACTTCATCCCTTTTTTTTTTTCTGGGCCCCCTTGAATCTTTATTCTTTTCATAAATATAATGCCATTTAGATATAATAGTACTGAAGTGAGGGAAAAAAACAGTCTGGCAAGGGACCCTGCTCATCCAGTTTAGAATACCTATCTAAAGGACAGGAATAAGCATGGAGAATACAATTACTAAACAAAGAGCATCATATATATCTTAATTCATCTTCTGTTGCTATAACAAAAAATCTAAGTTGGGGTACTTCATAAAAAATGTTTATTTAGCTCATAGTTTTGTAGGATGCAAGTCCAAAATGGAGTGGCTTCATCACTGTGACCTCTGGTGAGGGCTTCATGGTGGACAACATGAAAATGGTGGAAATGTGGACAGAGACAGGAAGCCAAAGAGTAGAGGTGGGTACAGCAGTCTAACCAGATTTATATTACAACCCATGCTTGAGGGGACTTAACCAGGTCTCACAATAGCTACATTAATCTGTCCTGAGAGCAACACCCCCAATTATCTAATTATCTTGCATTTAAACCTTAGCTCTTTTTTTAAATTGTTTATCAGTACATTTTAGGTATACATTATGATTGTATTCATCATTGATAATTTGTACCTGTACATGATATATATTGGTTCTTCTTTTTTCCCTATTCCCCTTCCCTCCCTTCCACCCCCTACCTCTCCCTATTTACAAATGGCTTTGTTTCCATTTTTTCCTTCTTTTCTCATCACTTTTTCTTTCCCTTCTTTCCTTTCCCCTACCCACCCCTCTCTACTTCCCCATACCCTTTGGGCCTTTTCTTCCTATTTCACATTATCTATTATACATTTTTGTCCTCATTTACACTTTCAGTTTCTCACACCAGAGAAACTATTCAGTATTTACACGTGTGTCTTATTTATTTCACTTAAGAGTATGGTCTCAATGTGCATCCATTTAGCTATAAATGTCTCTAGTTTATCAGTTTTTTAGAGCTGAGTAGTACTCCATTTTATTTTAAAAACCCCACATTTTCTTTATCCAGTCACCAGTTGATAGGCATTTGGGCTGTTTCCAAGATTTAACTATTACACATTGGACTGCTGTAAACATGGGTGTGCATGCATTCCTGTGGTATGTTGCTTTTAATTCTTTTGGGAAGATACTCAGTAGGATAATAGCTGGGTCAAATGGGACCTGTAATCCTAGTATTTTAAGGTATCTCTATACTGATTTCCACAGTGGTTGCACCAGTCTACACTACCACCTGCAGTGGAGAAGGGTTCATCCCTTTTTATGGCCAGAAAATATTCCATTGTATGGATATATATCAGATTTTGTTTGTTCAGAAACATTTGGATTGTTTTTACCTTCTGGATCTCAGGAATACTGCTGCTCTGAACTTTTATATACAAGTATTTGTGTGGACATGTTTGCATTTTTGTAGGAGTGGAATTTCTGGATCATATGATAATCTCATATTTAACATTTTGAAGAGCTGTCAGAATACCACAAGCAATGACTGAGAGTTCCAGTTTTTCCACATCTTTCCCAACATTTGTTATTATCTTTTTATCACAACAGTCTTGTGAATGGTATCTCATTCACGTTTTGACGTGAAGTTTCCTGATGAGGACAGTGTTAAGAATCTTTTCACATGCATGTTGACCAAGTACATCTTTCTTGGAGATATAGCCATTCAAATCCTTTGTCCACTTTGTAATTGAGCTGTCATTTCATTCATTATGGTATTTATATATATGGGATATTAGTCCTTTGATGACTTGCCAATATTTTCTTCCATTCTTTGAACTACCCTTTCACTTTTTTTTGGTACTGGGGATCAAACTCGGAACCTTGCAGTTGTGAGGCAGGTGGCAGAACCACTGAGCTAAATCCCCACCCCCCCATTTCACTTTTTTGATAATATCTTTTGATGTATAGATGTTTCTAATTTTGGTGAAGTCCAATTTATCTATTTTTTCTGTGATTGTGCTTTTGGTGTCCTAGCTTAAGAAACCATTCCCCATTGTAAGGTCATCAGATTTTACTTCTATGTTTTCTCCTAAGAGTTTATAATTTTACATTTAGGTGTTTGATTCATTTTGAATTCATGTTTGTATATGATGTGAGGTAGACATCCAATTTCATTCTTTTCCATGTGACTCTCCAGTTACCCACCACTAGTTAATTGATTTTGCCATGTTATACATCTTCTCATGTACATTGACTAGTTTTTTATCTTTCTTGGAGAAATATCAATTCAGTATTTTGCTTACTTTTTGGAGAGGGGAGGACTGGGTCTTGGTATGTTCCCCAGGCTGGTCTTCATTTCCTAAGATCAAATGATCCTCCTGCTTTAGCCTCTCAAGTAGCTGGGGGCCGGGGATTTAGCTCAGTGGTTTCGCCACCTGCTGCGCAAGAGCAAGGACCAGAGTTCAATCCCTGGTACCAAAGAAAAAAAAAAAACAAGTAGCTGGAACTACAGGTATGTACCACCATGCCAGGCCCTTTGCTCACTTTTTAATGACAGTGTGCTAGGTACTATTCTGGATTCTGGGAAAAGAGATTAATAAGTCATAGATGTAAGAAGGGATCTAACCTTCACAGTGGGGGGATCACACACAAATAGAAAACAATGGTATGGTGAAATAATGTGTATGTTATACCTGGCACTGTGCCTGGTCCCTAGAATGTATAGTAAATGGTGTCTTCTATAATAAACTAGTAATAAACGGGCCAGGGATTTAGCTCAGTGTGCCTGCCTTGCAAGTACAAGGTCCTGAGTTTGATCCCTGATACCTAAAGAAGAAAAAGAAAATAAATAGTAATAATAACGGCAGTTAATATATGTTATTATGTGTCAGTAATAAAATGTTGCCACTTATGATATTAATATATGATAATGGTCACAAAGTCCTATGTCAGGAAGCAGTAGCAGGCCTTAAAATCTCTATTTCTTGGTGATAACATAGTATATCCTCAAATTGTTTTTATAAAGTTTAGAGCAATGGTGGCTCTTTCATGTGGAAGTTAGGGTACTCTTTGTAAAATATCAAAAACTGTTAATTTAATTCAGTCACATGGCCTAGTCATATTAGTGGTGAGAGGTATGGCTATATTGTACTATATGTGTTCTAGGCTCTACATTACAAAAAAGTCAATTTTTAAAAAAAAATTTGTAAGAAATCACTTTTCCATGTTTTCCCATTATATTAGTCATTTGTTTTGTCATTTGCTAGCACATGTTAGCAAAAAAGTGAGAACAGGTGCTGATATTCCCTAATTCTAGATGAGAGATTATGACTCAGTAGGGGTTAAATGATTTGCCCAGGGATGGTAACTGGGATGTTTAGCAAGGAAGAGATTTAGGAGAAAATGACTTCTAATCTAATTCTTTTTATTCTAAATTTCTGCTTTTCAATTAGATTATTCAGCTTCCTTCAGCTAGCATGTATTTGCCAATATGTAAAAATTCAAAGAAAAAGATTTAACTAGCTTTGGATATATTAGGTGACTTCCTTAAAAAGAAGCAGAGATGTAAAAGTATAAGGCTTCCAGGGGCTGGGAGCGGGGCAGGGGCAAGGGAGGATGGCAAGAGGATGGTTAATGGATGTTATAGCTTGTATTTAGATGTCACTCCAAAGCCTCATGTGCTCATAGGTAGGGCTTTTGGGAGGTGGCTGGATCTAAGGCTTGTGATACTGAGATTATGGATGTATGGTATTAAATTAGTCCACTGATTGGAATTAGCATAGTTCTGAGTGTGACTGAATAGATTTACTGAAGACAGAAGCCCTACTCAGGATTGGGGTGCCACTACCCAAAAGGCTTGTAGCCTAGATGGAATAAAAGGGAATGGCAGGTTTGCTGGTTGCTGCTTGCTGTGCCTGCTTCTTGCCTGCCCTGCCATGGACTGTTTCTCCTCAGCCGTGCCACCCTGCCATGGAGCCAGCCAACTATAAACTGAAACCTCTACAAACTGTGAGCCAAAATAAACCTTTCCTCTGTTAACTTGTGGGTGTTAGGCATTTGATCTCATCACTGAGAAAAGTAAGATAATGGGTATGGGGTACAGGTGGATAGGATTTTATAGAACAATAGAGTAACTGTGACCAACAAGAATTAATTGTATATTTCAGAACAGCTAGTACAGAGAATTTTGACACAGACAAATGATAACTATTAAGGTGATAGATATAGTAGTTACCCTGGTCTGATCATTATAAATCATACATATGTTGAAATATCATACTTTACCCAATAAATATGTGTAACTATTACATGTCAATTTAAAATATAATCACATACCATAGACTGCATAAACAGTGGTAGTCCCATTAATTTATATTGCCTAGTGGTGTCATAACCATCTTAGTTTGTATAAGTACACTCTGTGATGTTCACACAACAATAAATTTCCTAACAATGCATGTCTTAGAATGTGTCCCTGTCATGAAACAACACATGACTATTTATCTTTTAAAGTATGACTTGCATTTTATAAGAGCTTACACACATACTTCATATTTTAAAGAGTTTCTGAGGTAGCTTCAGTGCTAATATTGATCAACAGCAACTTTGTATCATTTTTTTCACATAGTAAAAATCTCTGAAAATGTCCTAGTCACTTTACTATGATTTCATTTGTTCTCCAGGAAAATCTCACCTGGCCATTGTCCAGCGGGTGAATAATGAGGGAGAAGGAGACCCTTTCTATGAAGTGATGGGCATTGTCACACTGGAAGACATCATAGAAGAAATCATCAAGTCAGAGATCCTGGATGAAACCGACCTCTACAGTAAGTGCACAGCCTTGGCTATTCTCCGTGGTCATTGTGTTTTCCTCTGAGACTGTTGGGGACAGATTAGTTTGACATACAGAGTGAAGGATGTCAAAGAAAGCCTTATACACTGATGTATGTCAACCACCTTTGCCTCGTGCTGGCATGGCAAGATACCCTAGCCTGAATCACTCTGAGTCACTAGGAACCCACTACCTAAATGTTTATATGGAAGAAACCTTTGAGAGCTGAGCCAAGACTAGGAAAAGACCATCGAGCTTTTGAATGGAAAAGGTCTAAAAAAAACACCATATACCCTAGAGGACAGCCAGAGGCCTCTACCTTTGTTTCTGTTCCCCCTTTGTTGTCTCTTTGTTTACCTAGATATAGACCCCAGTGCCCCTTGGAGTTCTGCTTACACTAAACCATCAGTGAGCAATGGAGACTGTCATAACATCGCCCCCTCCCACCTAAACCAAAAATTTAAATGCCCTGCTTTGTAAATGTATTGCTCTTTTTCCTTATGCCTTTTAGCACCACTACTCTAGCTTTCTAATCCCCGACCCCCTACCCCCTGGATCAAGCACCTGCCTGGATCCTATCTCCACTCCCTCCTCTTTCTGATCTCTTCATCCTCCTCCCTACTCCTCTTCAGGAACAGCATGAATGCCTCTCTGCAGAATATGACCTTTTTGGGTTACTTTTAAAATTTGCTTGCAAACATTACAGAGGCATGGTTTGTCTCTGGGATAGAAATGTTATCCAAAACTTTGGGAGTCCCTGGGCTAGGAAATATTTCTTTCTCAGAATTTCATCCGGTGGGACAACCTCCCTTTCCCTCTCCCTCAGATACTTTATTTCAGATCTCTGTTCTTAGTTTGCTAGAAGCAGCCTTTCAAAAACTGGCTCCTGGTAGCAAAAAGCTTTAATACCATAAGGCAGTGAGTGGTACAGAAAAAGTGCCTTCCCTTTTGACCAAGAGATCAAATCTGAAAGGTGGACCAGGCCTTGACAGAAACCAGCAAGAATGTCACAGCATCTCCTTCCAGAGACCTGGTATTGCTGTGCTGGCCAAGCTGTCTTCTTTAGAAAGGACTTGAACTCTCCTCCCCATTCTGGACTCCCTTCTCCACACGTGCCTACCACTGTTGCTCTAGAATTCCTAGATGTCTCAGTAAACACATTGGTGAAGACATTCACACTAAAATGTTAGTGGCTGATAGTAGCCTAAATGAGTAAGCTCTTCCCAGAGCCTTTGTTTGAACAACCTTAACATTTCAAACACCTACTATTAAAATCAAAATTTATACTAGCTAGATCTTAGAAACAATGATATATGTCCATCAACAGATGAATAGAGGGCCGGGGATTTAGCTCAGTGGTGCCGCCGCCTGCCTCACAAGTACAAGATCCCAAGTTCAATCCCTGGTACCAAAAAAAAAAAGATGAATAGATAAAGAAAATGTGGTATTTATGCACAATGGAGTACTACTCTGCCATGAAAAAGATACACTGGAGGTATTCATAAGCAAATGGATGCAATTTGAGAACATAATGTTAAGTGAAATAAGTCAGACATACAAGTTTAAATATGGCAAGGCTTCTTTTATATGAAAAACTCATATATATATATATATACATACATGCTAATTTGTTTCATTTAACAGAGAGTCTTTTTGTCTATGACTTATATTCTGAGTAACATTTTGGCCATTCTTTTTTTTTTCTCTTCTTTTCTTTTTGGTACCAGGGATCGAATTCGGGTCCTCGCGCTTGCTCAGCAGGTAACAAAACCACTGAGCTAAATCCCTGGCCCCTGGCCATTCTTTTAAGATCATGATATGTAGTATATTAACTATTGTTATTCTCTAATTATTTGTTATGAAATTTTATTTTTTCATATAAGAAGAGTGCTTTTTATATTTTCTTTATTAACATCTACTTGTATTACATTAGAATAAAATTTAAAAATCAAGTGAATGAAGGGGGAGATCAGAGGTATGCTTCTTTAATGGGGAAATGTTAAATGACATTTTTTTTGGTACCGGGAATCGAACCCAGGACCTTACACTTGCCAGGCAGCCACAGTGCCACTGAGCTAAATCCCCAACTCTTAAATGACATTCTGATGAAGGAGATGGAGGGGGTACATAGGCAAACATACACAACTTGGAACGCTGCTCACTAATGATATCAGAAGAAATGGGTCCCAAACCTGTACTTGTTACTCATTTGTGGAGTGACCCTCTTTCTGTAGGAGAGAGTCAGAGGTTTCCCACCTTTAAATAAGCTTCTAGCATAATTTTTAAGAGCAATGAAGACTGAGGAGTCATTAGTACTATGTTTCTTTTTAGATGGCCCCTACCTCTTACATGATCTGCACTCATGGGTCCATGGGTCCCCTCTGTCTTCATTTGAGGAAAAGTGTTAAAACAGCAGCCAGGGGACTGTAAAGGTTCAGAGCTGAAGGCAGGCCTACAGAACAGCTGAGGGGTGGAAGGGCACTTTCTCCCTTCTAGAAAGAAATTCAAAGGGTCGGGAAGACACAGGCTCCAAGACAGGGAGCAAAAAGGAAGCTAGATTCTAGAGTCATAGTTTTCTGTCCTAGGGGTTCATCCCTTTTACTTTCTGTCCCATCCAGTCCACTTGCACTAGAAGTATTCTGCAGCCCTGTTGTTTTCCAGACCAAGTTAGAAGAGAACTCAAATCCTTTTCCTGTTGCCCTTAGCACAAGTGAGATAGGCTAGCAGTTTCAATTTTTTTTAACTTAGGGAAAGCAAAAGAAAAATGACCAAAGAAATCTCCCACCGATATTTATTTATTTTTAAAGACAAGCTTAAATAAGGAAGAAAAAAATTAGAAAAAGCAAATTTTCTCAACCAGTAATCATATGCCCAATAAACAGTAAGTCCCCAACTTAAGAATAAATTATGTTCCAGGAGAACATTTGTAAGTAGGATTCATTTGTAAATCCAACAAAGTGAGTCTTATATACCTTTCACACAAATATACAATGTAAAGCATAAAAAAACCAAACACACACACACACAAAAATAAAGTATGTCCTCGACTGTACTGTCCGGCAGACATGTGAGCTACTTCCATGATTTGTTCACATCAAGTTCCATTTGTATCTGTGAAAGTTTGCATCTAGAATGTCCATAAGTTGGGGACTTACCATACAAGAGTCTCAGGCCCTGCCCAAGTCCCCTCCCCAAAGAATCTGTTTTTACACATTATAGGCTCATTTTTATTTCTTCTCCCTTCTTTTTTCTAGTATTTCTCCTGATTCTTCCCAAGTGAAGGAGCTAGGGTTGAAGCAGGAGTATTGTAACTAATAAGACAGTGGCATGCCCCCAAATACCCCAGGGCATGGTTCAAATCAGCAGAAAGAGACCAGGTAAACCTGGTTCTTGGAAAAGAGGAGGATAGAGACAGAAACTCTCTGGTCTCCACCAACCCACTTGATGCCAAGAATGCCAGTGTTTGAATGACATTGTATGAACATTGTAGTGTACTGTTGGAGTCTCATAGTAGTGAGACAAGATCAGTAAAAGTGCTGTTATTAAATATTTCAGCCCCCTTGTATAGAATAAAACAAACAAAAACTGATGCATAGAGAGGTTGCAAGGTTAATAAGTAGGGAACCACCACTAGAACGCTAGAATGCTGCACTTAGGAACCCCAGGATAGTTTTTTCTTTTTCGCCTTTCCACTACCTAAACATAAATAGTGCTGAGAATATTAGAGCCATCTTCCACCTGTAAACCCTAATCAACACCCTTCCACTTCCTGGGAAAGAGATGTTGTAATGTCTTCTAAAGTTGGCACTGCAGAAATGTATGTGATCCCAAAGTGTCTGCCTGTCCTCTTTGACTCTGGGAAAATCTCCAAAGACCAACAGTGACTCTGAGATAGCTGCAATCTGTCCTATTACCCTGCAGCTGACAATCGGAAAAAACAAAGGGTCCCGCATCGAGAGAGGAAACGACATGACTTCTCCTTATTTAAGCTTTCCGACTCAGAGATCAAAGTGAAGATCTCACCACAGCTTCTACTGGCCACACACCGCTTCATGGCCACAGGTAGGACCTGCCCACCCCAAGTCTACACCCCAGAGTAGTTGCAGCAGAATCTAGGATGAGACCAGGAGCCACCCACTTTAATACCTTCCAACCTCATTCCAACATGTGACCAGTGCTGAGAACCATTGTTCTAGGAAGATGTTTGCCCTCCATAGAGTGACAGGATGCCACACTGTGATGAGCCCAGGTGATCTTCTAGGGAAGGAAGTGAGTACAGTACAACTCACCCCTTTCTTCTGCCCGAGAAAAACAAAACAAAACAAAAACCATTGCTACACTTTTCTTTTTCTCCACATACTTCCTGGCTGGAGCTTAATGTCAACCCCCATCCTGGTTAAGTTGAGGTATCCCAAGAGTACTTGTCCTGGAGGGAAAGGCATTGTCCCAGGGATTCAGTACCCTCCAAGGGCCATATATCAGTGAGCAATAAGTTCTTAAAATACAAAAGTGGATTTTGAATTTTGGGGTCTTTAGAAAGAAAAGAAGATGAGAAAATCTAAATATAAACTAAATCTAAAAATAAACTAAATAATATAAATAAAAATCTAAATATAAACTCCTTGCAAAGAAGGTAAAGTTTGTCTTTGAACTCTCTGACCTTCTCATCCATGCCTAATTAATGTACTGACCTAGAAAGATTATATGCACCACTAACTTCAATATATAATTAATCCAACATATATTTTTATTGAGTAAATATTTATTGAGTAAATAATGAAGGATTCCGTTGCTAAAGACTAGAAAATGTTAAGTTGGAGATTCTTAGAGTTTTCAACATGTAATCCAGTTCTAAGTACAGATTTCTTTCAACTGCTGACTAATTTTCCAGAGCAAAGCAGATGTATCTGTTTAATATAATATAATAATATGCAGTAAGCACAAGATGTGATCAAAATATGCAGTTAATATTTAATTTTTTTTAATTGTATTACAGTACAAGACACATTGCCATTAATCCACTCAGAATATTCCACCTTACTTCAAACATACCCCATTGTTCCTGGCACTTTCTGAAGCAGTTCTAGAAGTTTTCTTTCATGTCTTTATGAGGTGTGATAAAAAATACGGTGGATGCTACTTCCGAGTGCCATTGAACAAAAGGCATGCTTCTCTAAACATTATAGTGTGTTCTCATCCACCTTATTCACCAGATCCGACACCAACCATGTGACTTCTGGCTCTTCCCCACAGTCAAGGTGCAACTAAAGACATGGAAAAGGACTCTCAGAAGTCCTTCAGATGGTGGCAAGAGCAATGGGAGAAATGTGTTCAAAGCAAAATGGAGTATTTTGAAGGGGATTAATGGCAATATGTCTTTTAATCTAATATTTTAGTTTAAACATTCATCATATTTTTCAGTGATACCATCTATAAATATATAATAGTTTCTATTAATATATAAATATGACACAGCTTATCATTTAATTACTTTTCCCTATAAACTTGGAATATTATTTCATTCAACAAATGTATATCATGCAAATAAGTCAGATTAAATTTTCTTTACTTCATTCTATTATGGCAATAAAGGCTTTGTTGTCTTCATTGGCCTAGTGATCCATGCCCAACTTTAAATAAAATCAAGGAGAAAATGAAAAACAAAACTAACATTTCCAAAATGGTAACCTGTTTCTCCTGAGATGTCATTGCAAGGACAAACATCCCCAAAGGGAATGAGAACAGCCCTGAGGCACACAATGAGTTTAGGATCCCTCAGACCCAACAAATCCAGAAGCCTCACCAGCCTGGTACCCTGGAGCATGAAAGGGGTAATCTAGTTGCAAGCCCCAGTGGCACCCACTCTGACTCTTCCCAGCTGCTGCTAGTGGAGTGGGTGGGGCCAAAGGTGCTGACCAACCACCCCGACTGTCCCCTAGAAGTGGAGCCCTTCAAGTCTCTCTACCTTTCGGAAAAGATTCTCCTCCGGCTCCTGAAACATCCCAAAGTGATCCAGGAGCTGAAGTTTGATGAGAAGAACAAGAAGGCCCCAGAACACTACCTCTACCAGCGTAACCGACCTGTGGACTACTTTGTGCTGCTTCTACAGGTAAGCAGCAAAGTTAAGGGCAAGACAAGGGCATCTATAGGGTGAAAAAGAATGGCTATGCCTCCTTCAGTGTTGGCAACCAAGACTTGGCTGGCTGCCTCTGGAGCAAAGGAAATTAGGTAGGCATTTCTACATGACCCACAGAAGGGCCGAGGCATGGAAGACTGGTGTCCTAGAAATGATGGGATCTTTGATGGCCTTAGTCTGACCACTCAGTATTGTTTGGCATGGGGTAAGTACCTTTCTGGTAGAGGGGTTCTATCTCTGGACTTCCAAAACTGCTACTCTCAGATCCCAGTACCTCTTTTTCTCTGCTTGAGTATCCCCCAAAGTGAAGCTGTTCCCCTGTCTTCTAAATCTTAAGACAATTCTTATTGAAAATCTTTCCTCTGTTGAGCTGAAATCTTACCATATCTGACTTCCAACTGGTGCTTTCTTTGCTCTCTGGAAGTGCATTGAACACATTCATTTTCTGTGCCAGATTTCAACCTTTGTAGTTCCTTGAACTTTCTCCCTCTTCAGAGAACCAGAAAGGGAGAAAGATGATGGAGTGAAAGAAGTGCAGCATCTCCAGGTGTTCATATAACCATCTGCCCTGGGTGCCTGGACAGGCCTGTCTTAAATAAGTGTCAGGTACAGTTCCACTGGAACACCAGTGCCTGTCCAGGCTCCACCATGTTCTCTGTCACTGATTCCCTGTCTTCCCAGCAGACTCTTACGAACCCTAAACACAGTGATGCTTTTAAGATCTTGATAAAGCTTGCATTGACTTAGAAATGACCTCCCTTTTTTGCAACCCACCTCAGCCTCTCTGTTTTGACACTGTCATTTGTTTCATGTATTTTCTTCCAAATTGACTCAATAAAATGACCAATCTTTTCCAAAACTGGAGTAACATTTCTTACTGTTTAAAATTGAGATGGGTCCTGATATATCATTTATATAATGTGAAGAGTACATATGATCCTTTGATGCTTAATAAAAATTCAAGTTTTCAAATAAAGTGTGAAGGGAATAAAATGTAGTGGGTAAAGAGTAGGCTCAAAAATTGGAAAGATCTACCTTTAAAATTCCAATGTTGCCATTTCCTAATTAACCTTGACCAAGTTAACCTCTCTGAACCTCAAAATTGATCCATCTATAAACTAGGGATAAAAGCAATATAGCTCTCATGAGGTTTTGGGGCTGAATGAATGAGATCCCATGCAGTACGTGTCACATAGTATCAGCTACTTAGTATCCTTAGTATCAGCTCCTGCACATTAGCTATCATTATCATCCATGATGAACTCAGCAAGCTTCACAAAAGATTAGGGTTTATTTAAACCGGACTTAGATATGGCCTAATCTCAGACTAAGCCAGTGGGGCAGATTAGCTGGTGTTTGGACTTATGCGATGGAAGAGTCATTACTGTAAGCAAGGAGAGCATGGTTATTCATGACTGGGTGCTGTGTTGTGAGCAATGAAGTGATGAATTTACTGCAAAGAGCTACCAAAATTGGAGGTGCTATTTCTGAAATGTAAATCTGGACATAATTAACATTGCCCTTTGATACAAACGTGAGTCCATGGGTCATCCAAGCAGAAGTGCCTAGGGTCCTAGTAAATAATAGATTTGAAAGTGCTCATACATACCCTCAGTACACTACTTCTTTCTCCAGGGTAAAGTGGAGGTGGAGGTTGGTAAGGAAGGCCTTCGCTTCGAGAATGGAGCCTTTACCTACTATGGTGTCCCAGCCATCATGACCACTGCTTGCTCAGGTATTTTAGTTTCCAAACCATAGCTTATTGGGGAAACCAATAGGATATTGTAGAAAAAGCATCTAGACTCAAGTCTTGATTCCTCTTGTGACTCCTGTTACAGACTTTGGATAAACTATTTAACTTCCTTGGCTTTAGTCTTCTCTACTAAATAGGTATAAGAGTCATTTTCATTCAGAGTTTGTACTTAAAAAAAAATAAGTGAGGAAAAAATTAAGTTGAAAAAGGCAATCACATTATCAAGTGTTGGGATAGAGTATATATTTTCTCAATATGAAAAGACAAGTCTGTTTTGCTTTTTACACTTTTTCCTTACCCTTCCATTTGTTTTCACAGGGTTCGTTGGTGCTGGGGGTGGAGTGGAAGTGGGGATTCCCATAAGCAGGTGTGTTTTCTGAATTGCCTCTGAAACCCACTGCATCCTTCTGTCCTTAGATAATGACGTGCGGAAGGTTGGAAGTCTGGCTGGATCCTCCGTCTTTCGTATGTATCTCTCAAACCTCTTCCTTGTCTTCCCCATCGTGGTCTTGCCTCAGCCCACTCTGGGGACCTGGACCAAGCACTTTGAGCCCAGGCTAAAACAAATGCTGGCAGCCTCTTTGTAATACTCTGCCAGGGACACTTCCTCCTGCCAGGTACTCACGGACAATAGGGGCTTGGGTTCTACATGTCTGGAATGCTTTCTCTGGCTTCTCTGCTCACGCACAAGTGATGAATGATTGGAGGGGTGGGGAGTAGATTTGTGAAAAGAAGTACCATTAATTGCCACCTTCCAGGGATCCAGGCAGGTAATTTGTGTGCTTGGTAGAGGATCAGCTTTTCATTCTCTGCTGTGTTGATTCACCCCTGGCCTTTACTTGAAAACTCTCATGTGCAGTTACTGTGCCTATGGCATTTGTCCTCAGTAAAAAATGACTGTGAGATTTTGAGATATAAATCTCAGGCTGGTGCAGTATGTTGCTTATCTGCTTCTCTTTCTTTGCTTACCACCTCTCAGCTGGTGAAAAGGTGGCTGCCAGCTGGCCATGCATGCTGCTAGTGGGGGCTGGCACAGAGATGGTAGCTGGTTTGCTCTGCCCCTTCTGTGCTGAACTTTCTTGCTGCTTCTACGTAAGGTTATTTATATTTAGAGAGCATGGCATTTATTGTGTGATCAGAAAGAATTCTTTCTCTAGATTTCCTTTTGATTCACTGGTCTGAATTTTGCACTGCTTTCAGCTTTTAGTATTCACAGTGGTCACTTTAATGCCAAATGGGAATCTTACCTCTCATCATAAAAGAGATTTTTATGTAATGCTTTATATTGGGATTTATCAGAGGGTCCCAGAGCTTGATATGACAGCTTCCAAAAAATAGAAAAGTAGATGCCATTTTACAACAAAAGAAACAAAATTACTTGTTCCAAATCACCACAGCAAGTTGGTGACTTACCTAAATGTATCTTGGTGTCCTGACTAGTTCAGACAGCACAGTATAATACTAATTTTTTTTTTGGTACCAGGGATCAAACTCAGGACCTTGCACTTTCAAGGCAGGCAGTGGAACCACTGAGCTAAATCCCCAGCCTGAAATACAGATTTTAAATCCATCGTGTTCCAGTATGCAATAGCTATATGGAAATAGTAGTGCGATTTACCATGTAATTTTACCTCCTAACCCAGCAGGTGGCTGAGATAAAGTCTAACTCCCTTTCCCACACCAAAGGGGTTGTAGAAATTGAGTTAAAGGAGATCTGTAAAATGAAAAACCATGGTACATTGTTATGTAAGCAAACTGATCTCAATTAAGGTTCTTAATATGAGTGCTGGATGGGTGAGGAGCAGGTTACAGGACTGGGATAAACCCTTATTCTCAAAAGGAGACTTTCACAATCTATCACATTAAGGACTGCTCTGGGACTGCTATTTTACCTAGAAGTGCTGGCTCTGTTCTGCCTCTCCTAAAAGACAAAAGAGATGGGAACGCTAAGAAAAAAAGAGCTGCATAAGGCTCCCCAGCCCACCCAATTTAGATGTCTTTCTTCATCTTCAAAAAAAACCATATATATCTATATATATATGGAAAGAGAGAGAATGAGAGAGGGACCATCGAGGAGGAGGGAGAGAGGGAGAGAATGAGAGCGAGGAGAGAGAAAGGAAGAGGAAGAGAAAAAATGAGAGAATGAGAGAAAGAGAGGGAGGGAGGGAGAGAGAGAGAGATTATCCAATTTCCTCTTTTCTTTCCTTCCTGGCCCTAGTTATTTCATAATCCTTCAGTTTAATTAGTGATCCATGAGTAAACTTACACTGCTACTAATCTCTCCTTTAAAACCAGTTAACTGAAAGCAAGTGTTGAACCTACTTTCCTTCTCCACACTTCAGACCATCTTCATGAATTTCCCAGAGGAAAAAGAATTATTATTAGCCAGTAGGGGTAAAGAGGCATTTTCCTTCCTTCCCCAACCCCTCCCAACTTAAGAGAGTTGAGCATGAAATAACTGTAGTCTGCCCACACCCCACAACTGTTCCTCCAGTGAGTGCTAACCCCAAAGTCTAGCCTACAGCAGTGTCTTTAACTGGCCAAGGATCTCAGTTTGTAGGCTGAGGGAGAGCTTAATCCTAAAACAGGGCAGTAAAATCTTGTAAGATCTTGGCCTGACAAACTCCCCTTGTCCTTGAAACCATCCCACAGCTGGCTCAGCTTTTGAGAGTGAGAAGTAAGATGAAAAATTTGTCAGAACACTGGTCCTGTGACCTATGCCTCACAGTTGAACTTGAGATTGCAAGGAAGTCTCTGGTTTTCCTGGGTAGGGTAAAAGGAACACAGTTTACACTGTCTCCATTACCTTGATTCTGACCACCAGGGAACCCAGAATACCATGGTGAATGAGCCTGGCTTTCTAGAAGAGCCTTGCCCAAACTTTGGGTACCAGGAACAGGGTACCAGGAACCCAGTGGTGTGCAACAGGGAGGGATCAAGTCTTCTATTTGTTTGGTGGTATATATATTTAATTCAAGAAGAGCTATGATTCTTCTTGAGACTGGTGGTTTCTTATTCCATTGTTTCTCACAAGACACATTCAAATATCTATTAACATCTCATGTCACAATTAATGATTATCAGGTAGGTATAAAGCCCCCCTCTTGCTGCCCTGCATGGAAAAGTAATTTCAGATAAAATCATGTGGTACAGAAAATAAGACCACAGAAGCTACCTGTTTAAATGTGCCTTTACCTGCAGACTAGGTTCATTTGCCTGCTTGGAAGGGACTCTGAGAGTGATCAGATAAGACAGATGAAGACATTTCTCATGCAGAAATACCACTTATCAGGACCAAGCTGGGGAAGGAACTGGAGTGTTGCTACACACTCCACTCCACCCCAGCCCAAGTGATAGCCAGTTCAATTTCTGGCTCTATGGGGAAGGAGGAGAGAAAAGGGAGTAGAAATAGAGGTGCTTTAGAGCACTTGTATGTGCTAAGAAATGACTGTTGGGGTCGGGGATTTAGCTCAGTGGTTCCAGCGCCTGCCTCGAAAGCATAAGGTCCTGAGTTCAATCCCCGGTACCCAAAAAAAAAAAAAAAAAAGAAAGAAATGACTGTTATTTAATTCACCAAGTTGATTTGCATTAAAACTGCTAAAATTCAGCCCTTTCTTTGTCCTGATCCTCTAGCAATGCAGTTCCTCACCAGCACTGTGATCCTAGGAGCACGTAGCAGTCCTGGGCAGGAGCCAGCTTCCTCAAGTATGGCCCTAACAGAAGCATACCCTTGGCCTTCAGGCTTCTGATGCATGTGCCCTCCCACACCCATGCAGACACATAGGCAACTGGGAAAGGACAGTGGAATGCAGTCCTGGGTCCCAGCATACTTGCTGGCTCAAGATGGGGACCACAGAGAGCATGCTGCCTATGCACTCCCCGCTTAGGCACTGCCTGTGCTTGCCATTGGAATCTGATTCCCTCTGAGATAATTGCACATCTTTTCAGAAGAACTCCAGCAAAACCTTATTTTCTTGCCTTTCTGGGGAGTAACTTTGTAAGCAGAATTAATTCCCATATTTTCAGAGGCAAGGTTCCTTTTTGCAGAGAAATGTGATGTTGTGAAGATCCAGGAACAGACTGTCTCACCTACTTTGCTCTTTGTCTCTCTCCTTTTATGTTTATCTTCCCCTTTACTACTCACATACCCTTGGCCCCTGACTCTTTAGTTCCTGTCTCTGTGTCGCGTACCTTCGCCTTCAGCAGAGGGGACTCTCTGGCAGGCTCCCCAGGTAAACATGCATGGATGACATGACTCTCTGTAGGTCCATAGATCCAATGGGGTTTGCAAAGGGCCTTTGGTCTCTGTTACCATCCTACATATGACCTAGTCTCTTCCGGTGGCACTCCTATAACGAAGGTATAGTACAATGCACAGGTAATATTCATTTGTACACCCAGCCTGGGCATTACTGATTCAAAGGCATCATTTATCAATTTACCTTCCAGGATGTGTCTGTGGAAATACATGGAAAAATGGTGGTGTTGAGGGATAGCACAATTTTTTCCTCCTTTTTTGACTGCAGGGTAGAGGGCTAAGGGGTACAGCAAGAGAAAAAAAAAGGGGGAGAAATAATAGAACACCACACTTTATCTCTACCTCTTTTTCTTCCAATATTCCTTCTACGTGGCCTCTGCCTTTAGCTAACCACGGGTCCATCCTTATCTTCCTAGGACTAGTACTATGTGATGGTTGTATTTCCTCTGGCTCTGTACATAAAAATGGTGCTGTATGTAAAAATTTCAAAAGAACTTTTCTGAGGTTTTACATCTCATATTAACTAAATAAAAACCTTTTTAATCAAGTAAAGCATCTTAGAACTTCAAACTCAATGACTGAGTACGGTGCAATACATACGAATAATCACATAGTTGTTCATATTCTTTGCATCTCTAGAAAACAATCTCTAGGCCCATAGAGCAAGTAAGACTAAAGCACAAATTTATTTATAAAATCACCCTGCAGTTAGAAAGTCAAATTTCTTATAGCTTCTACATCTGTGTCCATTATCCTAGTGCACCCTACCCTACCCTACCCTCAGTCATCAAGAAATCAATTGTGGCTAGGCATGGTGGAACACACCTGTAATCCTAGCTACTCAAGAGACTGAGGCAGGAAGATCATACCTTAAAGCCCAGCCTGGGTAACTGTGAGACTATGTCTCAAAATTAAATTTTTAAAAAGGGCTCAGGGTATACCTCAGTGGTTGAGCATTTGCCTGGTATGCATGAGGCCCTGAATTTAATCCACAGTACCTTAAAAAAAATTCCAGTTACATTTTGCTGTCTGGATAGTAGGCCTTCAATATTGAAAAAGGTTATGTCCTGAGACCTCAAACCCCCAAGTCTGTAATGTCAGAAGTATTTATGTTGACTTCTCTTTTTTTCCAAATCATATTTTTCCATCAAAAACCAGCTGGTTCCCATGTTTATCTGTTCAAGACAAACCAGCCATCTTCTCAAATTTCACCAGTTTTATCTCTCACTCAGTGGTGATTTTTCCACTAAGAAATAAAGTTGTCCTTTGTTTATGAGTTTTCATGCCTTCATTGTAACTGCAGAGTAGTATAGTCAATGTAAGATGCCAGCCTGGCACCCTGAATAGATAAGTGCTTTATTCCTGCATGCCAGTAAAATTAGAAATGACCAAATCATGCACCTTCAAGATCCTTCACATGTGGTAAATCTTGGGGATGCCAAGAGTGTGCTGTGAATCTTCAACATAAAGGGAAGACACACATTTTAAATATTTTCAACCAAAAGAATGAAAGCAGGAGTACAGATGACTTAATTATGATTTCCCAGTTTAAGGAATATTAATTCTAACTCATCAGTATTTACTATGAAAGCCTTCATAACAAGCCAGTGTCAGACAGAGAAAAAAATGACTAATTCTTACTATGCAAACCCTCACAGGAGGAGCTGAGACTTCTGCTTCTACTCTACCTGGTAACATGTACCCCTGAAAGCCCTTTCTTTTTTTTTTCAAATTTTATTTTATTGGTACAATTTAGGTATACAATATACTGACATTCATCATTGGAAATTTGCACCTTTACATAATCTCTCTTGGTTCTTGTTTTTCCCCCTTCCCCTGCCCTCA